TTTTTGAAATAATTATACTTCCTAGAAAGGAGTGTGTGTGTAGCTATATAAAGTAATAAAAAATATGAGAGACATAAACACTATTCTTATTGCATGTATAGAATTTAATAATTTGTTCCCAAGAACTCAAGGCCCATTGGCATAAATATTATATTTTAGGAGAAATTTAGCAGGAGAATCTTATCCTTTTTATTTTTATTATTTTAGAGTTTATTAATTTTATTTTTCGTTTATTTTTTAAAGATTTACTTAATTTTATTAATGTCTTGCTTAAGATTACTACTTGAACAATGTTTGAAGTAGATGTTTGTTTTACTAACTTTAAATGTATTAACTGTTTAGTTCTGGGGAAAAACAGTTAACAGGTGGGGGCAACTGGCTGTGTAAGATCCACATATTACCTCAAACCCACTCATCAGTTTGGGAGCAACCAGTCCTCAAAATTTCTGTAAGTTTTCAGAGAAGTTTATTTTTTATATTAATTTTAAGGATCATTTTACCGTCCCTTGGGTATTTTTCCTGAACTCATCTCACTTCCTTAAGTAACACACGAATGGAGTCAGCGAAGTGACATTGTGAGATGGAGAGTGTACATTGCAGGAACGCATTCACTTTACAATGAAGTATGGGGCATCTTCACGCTTAAAGACAAAGAAAACTTCCTCTGTCGTTTTCTCCAGTTATGCTCAGCCTGCTACGATGTTGCTCAGCACTCCTCCTTTTCTTGTTTCTTCATTTTATTTCCCTTCTATCTCGGCGGGGCGGGGGGTGAAAATAAAAACACCTTCTGAGACTTGTTTGTTGCTGAGAAATTCCGAACTCCACCGAAGCTGTGGCAGCATGACTCCAGTCACTGAGTTAGTTCTGAGGCACGGGCCGCCTGGCTCCTTTGTTCACTGCAGAGGAGCAGAGGAAAGCCAGCTTCTTTCCCCAGGTGTCCCAGCGCAGAAGCAAGTCGAATATGATGTTTTTAATTTCCTGGTATTTCTTTTAATAAGCTTGCAATCAACTTGAAATAATTTCTCTATATCATTAATCACTGTGTTGAAAAATATATAAATGATCTTATACTTAACACAGAATTCTCAAGACAGAATCTTCCAGCACCTACACCTGTCTCCCTGCTTCCATTTTTGCCTCCTAACCCTGGCTCTCCGCCCAGAAGCCAGAGTCATTCTTGGTTTCTAGTATAAAGCAGAACATGTCACTATCCTGCCCAAATCCTCCAAGAGCCGGCTTCTGTTACAGAGTATAATCTTATCTGCTCACCTGGCCTTCACAGCCCTCCCTCACCTACCGCTCCCATCACACCACACACCCTCTCACCCACCCCCTGCCCTTCTCTACTCAACTTCCTCTTCTCACTGAGCTTTTCTGTTTGCTTGTTTTTTTGTCTCAGGACCTGGAATTTTCATGCCCTTAGACACCCTCCCTGACCACCTCAACTACAAATTCTTTTCTGCTTAGTTTTTATCTCATCCTGCTTTGTTTCTTCACGGCACATGTGTCATATGTTACATACGTGACGCCTTTTGAGAGAGCATCTCTCTGAAAGTCCCATTGTTTATTTTCTGTTTCCCCACTTGAAGGTAAAATCCATGAAAGCCAAGATCTTGTCCCCCTTCACTACTGTTTCCCGGCATCCAGAATGGTCCCGTTTTAGTCAATTATAACATAATTGTAAGTAAGATTTTTTGTGGGACGAGGGGGAGGGCCAAATTATTCAAAATAGTTACTCCTTCTGAATAAGTAACAGAAAAAAATGCAAGTGTGAAGCAAGAATGACTAGTTCTAACTTTAAACACATGGCATCTGTTTAAAACTGAGGGGAATATGTTTTAATTGAGGTACTGGAAAATAAATGCTCCCATGATTCAAAGGGCCTTTAAATTAGGACAAACACAGAAATATAACATCCACACAAGGCAAACTGATGTGAGACTTTTTGAAAAGGTTGTTGATCTGTAATACACCCTTTCCTTTACGTTTCCCCTCTAACCTGTGATTGCTTCAGAATGTCAACCTGATATTATTTCTCTCCTGCTTTAGCCCTTCAAACACTTACTGAATGACTTCTTTTTAATCCTGAAGATAGTCAGAAATAGTGAAATCTCTGATCCGTACACTTTCTGATCCCTTCCTACACCATCCTGTCCCATCTGTTTTCTCTCGTCCTGGCTCTCCATTCTATAATTCATCTCTCTCGGTCCTCAGATAACCTCAGGTTTTATTAATCCTAGGGCATGACTTCCCACTCTCTACAACATTCTTCTTTTCTCCTCCCTTTGTGTTCTTACCCTTCAAAGATTTTGCATCTAATACTTTCTCCCTGAATCCCTAGACCTGGTTAAATCCTCTTATTATATGCAACCATAGCACTTACACATTCAGCATGCTCCTTCCACTTGTTACCGATTTGCTTAAAGTGTTTTTTCTCTGCTAGAATGTACATTCAACTTATTCATTACCATTTCCTTAGTGATCCACATATTGCCTAACCCTTACTTAGTAGGCATTTAATAATCATTTGTTGAATTTTCTGTTGTGGAAATGTATGTTCTGGAATATACATC